CCCTCATCTTAACACCTTGTTTGAATTACCTATGATAATTACAGTGTGAAAAGTAGCCTCTAGACTACTGTACTTAACTTCAAAGGTCCTAGTTAGTACTTTGTAATATTAAACTTTTCTTAGGCCTAGGCTGTTCGACATTGCTAACTTATAAGTTACTGCATAAGTTTAGTTGAAATAGTGGCCTAAAGTAGGGTACAGTTTCTTAACTGGGCTACGCTTATATTGATTGGGCTGCACTTTACTTGACGTCCTACACTCATTCGATTATTTTTTTCGGTTCAATATTTTCATTCGATTGTTTCATTCGATATATCGTTTGGTTATTTAGGTTAGGTTAACCTTACCTAACTAACCAAACGATATATCGAATGAAGCAATCGACTAATCGATATATCGATTGATATTTTCATTCGAATGAGTGTAGGACGTCAAGTAAAGTGCAGCCATTGATTGAAACTATCGATACGATCAGTAGCCTAAACCTTCATGCTTTTTTTTCACCATCAGTAAGTTTGGTTGGTTAGGTTATGATAGTTTAATTTTATAATAGATATATTTTAAAGTATCGATTATTAATCAATATTTTCAATTCAATGATCTCAATCAATATTAGCGTAGCCCAGTTAAGAAACTGTACCCCTAAAGGATACTATATTAGGCCTAAGGCTTAATTTTATGATACCCTAGGCTCAAGTGCTTCTATAAGGCACTAGCTCCATAGGGTGAAATAGGTGGATTAAAAAACATCACAAATCCAAGCAGACGTTAGCTTTTATCTATTAGCATTCAATAAAACTACTCACCTTGAAGAAGAGCTATGCTTAGCTGGTCTGTGTTAAGATTCTCCACATATTTACCCAAATAATTGTTTAACACCCAAGCAACTAGTCCCTCCAACATAGTTAAGAATTAATCGACGTTCATACATAAAATTTGTAAACGTTTAAATTTACAAATACACATTATACATTTGTATTTAAATACAAATACGGTGGCCCTACTAGTGCTAAGAACTAATTTCAATTTATCATGTTAACCTAGCTAGAACGTAGTTTTCATTGCCGTAACAAACATACATACACAAAAGCGCTTTGCGCATGCATGCATGCATGACTTTTGTTGTTTGATTGATAAAAACAACCAAAAACCAAACCAAAATGGAAATGGCAAAATGAAAATAGTCAGTCACTCACTAGTCAGCTGATGTCGTCTGAATTAGCAGCTGACTAAAAAAACTTGTTCAGAGCCAGTAATGTTAGTTTTTTTTCAACATAAAACTTTACTGTCTTTCCTTAAAAATTAAGTGGTTTTCGGCTATTAAACTTGGAAACCTCATCAATAAATTTTTCAAAATAAAAAATTTGTATGTAATATTCATAGAATAACTTGCACAGAAAACTAGCCCTAGCAGATTTTTTGCCAAAAAAAGTAGTGAGGAATTATTAAGTAACGAAACCCATACAAAATAAAACATGTAAACCATTTCAACGTTATATATGCAATATAAATAATATTATCGTCCAAACTACACAAAATTCAATCCACCCAAGTACTTTCAAATTAAGTATCTACGGTCCTACGGATTTGACTTTTTAACGTGACCATAGCCAAGCCAGGAGGCTACTGAACGTTCATATACACCGATTTTATCCAGCCAGTATTTTATCCAAGGTCGATAAAAGGTGTAGAATAATAAATGTCGGTTAGCTAAGGTCTTAGACAACACAATATTAATCCTACTGAATTTGTATGCACAATTTTTTTAATCACCTCACACTCACACTCTATTGTAAACCTGGATCATTTTGTTAATTCCTGTAAAATAATATTGTTGTACCTAACCTAGATAATTCTGGCATAGTGACATGTGCCTTGACAGGTTTACAAGACCTCGCCCTCCTTGACTTTTGAGAGGACTACTGTGGCCACTGGCCACAACAAATTGTCCTACTCCATGTATATTGTTGAGAATTGAATTAACCTATTTAATTTGACAACACAAACTCAACAACTCAGGCCCGGATTACTCTCTTTGGCCTAGGTTGGTTCCAGGGCATGATTTTTGGGGGGAGGGGGCAAGTAAGATTGATCGAGGGAAATCTCCTAGGAGGTCTGGGGGCCCAATCCTGGGAAATCCTGGAAAATCTGAACTGAAAACTCGTGTTTTTAGACAAACTAGAGACAAAAAGTGTTAAAAAAAAATTAAATCTACAACCACTAATTTTTTGGTTCTCAGATTCTTGAGGGTGACCACCCCCCCCCTTGACTCGCCGCTGGACCTAGGTAAACTTGAACGCATGTGCCCTCTCTCCCAACAGGGAAGAAAGGTAGGGAGGGTTGGCTAATATGATGGTTACAGAAATTACCATGCCTGAAGAGATTCTTTTTGTGAGTCTTTTATTTATTAAGATACTGTGAGATGACGAGAAATTATGACAGTTTCCGATCTACATAAAAGTAGGATATTGCACATTTGTGATGTGTCATGGTATGTCACTCAACTGTAGAAAATGACAGTCAGTGAGAAAGTGTGTGCTAGTCACAATTTTGAGGAATTATACAACACAAGTTAGGATGTTGTGCAGTTTTGCTTAGCTTTTGCGTAGTTTGCAATAACACAGCTCTTTCTGTTATTGCGCCATTGTTAAGCTATCAACTCTCAATAAACATATAGGATGTGCATGCGCAATTTTGTCCTTCTCATGATGTGTCAAATACAGGTGAAAAAATTTATATTGAAAAATGATATTGAATATCCCCTTATTCTCTAATTGAAAAAAGTTGACGACTTAAGCCTCTTTGCCCTAGGACATGTGCGGGCCGGTCGCCAGTCACCGAGGAACGGCCGCCGAACGCCTGCCCGCAGGCTGGCGGTCATCTGTGCCCGGCCAGGTCCCGCTGAAATGAAACACTCAGTGTAGCGTAATATTGTGGACACGACCAGAGTTATTGCGTGTGTGTTGCATTATACCATTGACTATATATACCTATAGGTATATATATACCTGTATGTATATATAGTTAATGATTATACCTATAATGTGTGTTTCGCCCGCCATTCCCGGTCCCGCGGACCGGTGCCGGTCTCCCGAGACCGGTAAATTCCCACGCATGCACAATTTATTGGCTTTGGACATTTATTTTGACATATTCCTTTTGTGTTTTTGTTTTTTATACGACACAAGAATATATTTGAATAGTTTATTATTTTAGTTTATGTGACTTTTAGTTTAAGGATGGACTTCCCAATACCAATTTTTTATCAGGAGCTCCATGATTTGCCGTTATTGAAATAAAGAATGGTTAGGAGGGAGGAAGGGGCCTTATTTAATTATTGTAATAGTTATAGTGCTATTTAAAATTTTTAGTGTGAAAAACAGAGTTTGCGAGACAAAAAATGGAGTTTTTTCATCACGGTGCCCACAAACGTCATCTGATATATTACAAAAATTTGGTTTTTCTCTTCCGAGTTCGTTCGACTCTTCTACACAACCGATTTTCATGATTGAGGTTTCGAATTGAAGGTATGCACGTACAGATTTGCCAGCAAGCATCGGAATAAATGTATCTATAATCCCACTCGACATATACGTAAACGAAAATTGCTCCCCATGTATTTCTTATGGGAGTTAAATTTGGTTTTTCTTTGCCGAGTTCGTTTGGCTCTTCTACCTGACCGATTTTCATGATTGAGGTCTCAAATTGAAGGTATGCAAGTACAGATTTGCCATCAAGCATCGGCCTAAATGTATGTGTAATCCCACTCGGAGTATACGTAAACGAAATTTGCTCCCCATGTATTTCTTATGGGAGTTAAATTTAGTTTTTCTTTTCCGAGTTCGTTTGGCTCTTCTACCCGACCGATTTTGATGATTGAGGTCTCGAATTGAAGGTATGCACATACAGATTTGCCATCACCCAACGGCATATATTTATCTATAGTCCTCGCCACCCTAAGTTGAGGCAGCCCAAGGCCGCACTAGATATACGCCGTGCGGCCTTGGGCTGCCTCAACTTAGGGTGGCGAGGACTATAGAATCCCACTCGGTGTATACGTAAACGAAATTTGCTCCCCATGTATTTCTTATGGGAGTTAAATTTAGTTTCTCTTTTCCGAGTTCGTTTCGCTCTTCTACCCGACCGATTTTCATGATTGAGGTCTCAAATTGAAGGTATGCACGCAAAGATTTCACATCAAGCTTTGGCATATATTTACCCTTCTGTATTACTCGATCAAAAAACATAATTTTATTAATTTTTTAATGTTTACTTCAATTTAAGATGTATTTCACAAGTTATAATTTTATAATCCTATATATATTTTTGTATAAGAACCTTCAGTGAAATACCGGCTTTCACTTATACTATTAGTTATTCAAGCAAACACAAGGTGAACAACTAACATAAATATTGTTTTTATAATGGTTTTCTATGAGTTTTAGATTCAAAATAATCAGTAAATTATATATGCTTTAATTTGAGCTGTTGATAGTTTGAATCAGTTAAACCATAGATGTTAAGCTCAAGATAGTGAATTACTCAATCAAAAATCATAAATGTGATTATTTCTTGGATAATTATATTTATTTTAACGCTGCGGAGCAGCATGGGTCCTCTAGTTACCTTTTACTTTTACCTTCCGTCATGAAAACAACACTTCATTATGTGGGGACGGTCACCAGTGACCGACGATTTTGGATCCTATTTCTGACCTGGGATCACTTCTGGCAAAAAAAAATAAGATTTTATGTCTAAAAAATTTCAAGCCCTGGGGAAATCTCACCGATATATTTACCACACTCAATTTGTTAACCGGCCAAATGGATGATTCGCCCCTGCTCAAAAGAGCCATTGTACAATCTAGGTTATACCAGGTTATTACCACCTACAGTCAATGGTTATACACTGTGATTTATTCATTGTTATTCATTAATACTATCTTGCTGCGGGCTGTCTTACTTCTCAAAAGGATACATAGGACAAATAATAAAGATAAATTGAAATGGAAAATCTGTATTTCAAGAATAGTTGTTATTTCATATGCTTAAAAAACAATGCTAACTACATAAATAACATGCGTGAAGCTGAATCATATAATACAACTAATGTAATATGCCACGACATGGAACGTAACATGTGTGCTTAGTAAGTAGTAAAACTGAGTGTATCAACACTTACAACATAATATAATTCTATATTTATTGTTACTTATTTACACTTACATGTTTGTTTATACACGATATATATATTTATATATTATGTTGAGTAGAAGACATATATTAACTATATTATAACATACAGTTAAATAAATGCAAAGTAAGATATTTTCCATGACATTTAATCCTTTGTTACCTACAGAATCAGAAACTACCATTACATTGTAGTGTTAAATGTCTTTATGAACTAAGTAGGCATTTTGAAAAGTGTTCGGATACAAAGTTATGGAGACAGACGTAGATTTATTTGATAATCTGGTTTTCTTCTTGAACAATGTTTTGTATTTTTTGTACGCCTTTTGATGTATGATTAAAGTTGTGACTCAGTGAACACTGTATAAGTTACATAAATTTAATAGAATCATAATGTTAACAATAATAATCATGAGAAAGAGTTTTTTTTTTTTATAAAGTGTTCTATAATTTGATTGGCAGTTAACATAAACCAAATCTTTATGCGTAATTCTTTTCAACATCATGTTCTTTATGCATTATTCACTGTTTGTACATTTTACACTAACAATAAAGGAATCTTAACATAGACTTGAAGATAAAAAATAAAGGAATTAGTCTTTGTATACGATAATACATATTTCCCACTCAATAAGACATTTTTCACCGATTAAAAATCATCAAACAAAATAAATATAGAACGCATCTACTTTTTTGCTGGTATAAGTTTTTTTGAATATAAAATCTAGGACGCTGCTTAACCTTGAAATCAACAATTAACAACGTTTACTTGTTCTTGAAATGGGGGTTATATGATACTTTTCGGTCTTGCGAGACAAATCCAACCAAAAAAATTGTTCAGAATCACAAAGGCTATCCATTTATGTAAACAATTATGAATGAAAGAAACATAATATATTTTTACATCACAATTTAGAAAAATATATCACTGGAAATGGGATACAACAGTAAGATCTTACATAGCACATGATCAGTGTTAAAGTTTGTAACATAAATCCTGTCATGAATATTAAAAAAGTCATTTAGTAGATTATACATTTTTTTGCGGTTTAGAGATTAGATAAAAATCCTTCCTTACTTTGAATCCAAGCTTGTGCAGGTTCTTGCAACCGGAATTCAAAGCGCTCAAAATGGGTTGCAAATTGTTCAATATTCTGGATAGCCCTCCGCGAGCAAGTTGATCGTAAATTGTTCCTCTACAACGCAGGAAGCCGACTCACAGCCACATCAAGCAAGCGTTACATCACCCAGCACTTCCCTACGACACTTACGCCTTACGCCTACGCAACACAAGTATAAACAATATAAAACACAAGCGAGTTTACAAATCAATAGTTTTACACACATACTAAATGCCTCTTTCGACTATACAAATAAATAAATAAACTATAATCTAATCATCGTGGTTATTTACAATTACCGTAGGATAGAATACAATACTAATTCGTATTGGCTGACCGGGCCGAGAAATGGGGTATTGCATTTGAGCACGAGACGCAAACTCTTAACTAACTTACTTGAATAACTATGAACCGGTCATATTCGTTTGGAACTATACAAGAAACATGTTTGTATAAATCATAAGAGTATAAAAATAAAAACATTCAAAAATGAAAGCTATGTAGACGAGAAAAATTATTGGTGTAAAACAACCTACAAAAGTTACATAAAAAATAAATGTCTGATATTTTGTTTGCTTAAAATTACTCAAGTATTATGTTTACACTTGAGACATAAAATATATATGTTTAAGTATTAGGAATACAAAACATAACTATCTAGAGCCAGAGCAAGTACTTTTTTAAAATTAATTTAATTACTGATCTAAAAATATTATACTAATCAATTATAAAAGTGAATATTAAGCAATTTCTGTGCCCTCTCGTCTTTAACTTTTTCATCCATACAACAATTTAAAAAAAAAATGTCACTAACGCTGAAGACAAATAATCTTGAGAGAAGCTACAAAATAAACACTAGGAATATCTTTCTTACTGAACAAAGCTTGACATATGTTTTAAGTAACATATAACAGTAAAATAGTCTAGGCTACTAATACTAAACAAAACTGTTTTTACAAGTGGAATTAAAAAGTCAAACTATTGCTTGACTTAAATAAGTTTGCAAAAAATTGGATATTAAACTCTATTTGAATCCTTAAAATCATGTTAAGCTTACACAATTACAATCATCGGTTATAAAACCGTCAGAATGTGTATAACACGTAAAATTGTTATAAATTCTACTGAAATTACATTTTGTAATAAAACTACGAGCATAATTATGTTAAGCTTTCTACAACACATATTTGAGCATTGTTGACAATATTTTTTAGAGTTATGCAAAGTAAACACATTTTTATATTCCAATTAGTTTTAAAAACTTCACTGTGGATTGTGTTTTCTGAATATTATTTTCCTTCACCTGATTCACAGTAGAAATGGTAGGATTTTACATTATACCTTTATGGTAGAAACACTTCCCTCATATAATTAAACATTGCATTTATGAAGAGTGACCGATGTAACCAGTACCTACACAGATTTATCACACATTAAAGTTAAAATAGCCTTTCCCACCATTTCTACTGCCTTGCAGGTTCTTACAATTACAGGTTTTAACAAATAAAACTGTTTACTGTACATTACAGTAATGGACAATTTTTAAGGGTATAAATATTTAATGAAATCCAAGAATGTATTATTTTGATCACAACCAATTAAAATGCATTGACCATACACCCCAATATCAAATCAAAGACGAAATGCTATTGTGTTTTAACAAGGTAACACTTTAAATACCTTTATTATCATGCCAGAGCACACAATACATTCTAATGGCACTGAGTCATGCTAACATTACCACGAATGGTAACAAAACTCCGAGGGTGTTGAACTGTGTCCAATGATGAAATAAAGATGTCAATTAAGAAAGAGGATCAAGATGCACCAACTATTGACTGGAATGTTTATAAAAGGACAACGTTTAGCTTACTAAAAAAAGTCTCCAGGTAAAGAATTATCAACTAAACTTGGCATAGCTTACAATTCTAGGTGTATAGTCAATTCTCAAAGATAACACGATAAAATCACAAGATATATTTGTTCATAGATTCTTCTATCTAAATTTTTCAGTTCAATTCCTTTAAAGAAATTCATCTACCTTATAATTTTGACCAGTTATTGTAATTTGTGCTGTTCCGAATCCAAAGCCAAACAAGCAAACGAAATACGAATAAGACCGACACACATTTACGAGATTGCACAAGTAGTTATAAAAATTTGTACTCTGGCTACCACTAAGGCTATCAGACTTGGAACGATTGCAGCGATTTATCTGTGCTCACTTGTGTCGTGTTTAGAAATACAAAGGAACGACTAGGCCGACCGGGACCTCCGAGATTCGCTAAGGGAGACTAAAAGAAATTATTGCCATTTATAAATATATAAATTATGCGTACATCCATATATGCAGTATAACACTTATACTGAAATGTGTTGATAAAAACATTTATGTACAAAAAAATATAAATGTCCTTAACATGAGATGATTCGCTGTTTGTGGTCGTCACTTGCTGCGGCATTACCTTCTACTAAGCTCGACTTTGATTGCTGAAAACAAAAAAAATCGGTTTACAATGTTAAACATATACACAAATTCTGAAATATATATTTAGTGACTTAACAGTATCATTTGGTAGATATGTTTTTGTTTGTGGTGAACTGTTACACTCCTTTCACTCTTTACGGGTTTTGCCATCTGGTTTAACACTGATGTTTCTTTCACATTACACGGGTTCAGACCGCACGTTGAGATGAATGTGTGTACAATGTCACAATGAACATAAACAGTGTCCAATTGACACATTGTAAATAATGAACAATACAACAGCTGATCTATTTGCACCATGGACTGACTACATGCGCCACTGACTCACGGCCACGGCGAGACAACTGTTTGTTCAAGGTTATAATAATTTAAATTCGGGACTGGATTTTTTTGGACTTGGATATCTGTATTTGCAAAACAGTTGATCGTAAATACTTGAAAGCGTTGTTATTTTCCAGTTAAAACCATAGATAAAACATACTCCCTTAGTAGATTTCTCATCCTAATGGAACAGCTTAAGACAATTTTATTGTTAGTTCTGTACGGTTTATGTAGAGGTCGTGTTTTGTTTACAATTTGTTTTCCGTTAATTCAGTCATTTAAAACCTCGTTTAACCAAATAATACGATCTAATCATAAACAATAAATTGTCCCCTAGTTATATAACCAAACAAACAGTAAAGCACAAATCAAGAAATTAACCCTAAAACTATAGAAACAAAATTTCGTCGACACTAGCGCCCAGTGTGGCGTACATGAACTAGACATGAAAAACGAGCTTCAAAATTTACAATGGGATGAGAAGTCTACTTGTGTTGGTTAGTCTATGTTAAAACTAAGTACTACCAGTCAATGATACTACTCAGCTAAGGTCCTGTATTTTTTTATCAATTACTTGGTATTAAAATCAGATTAGAGACAATGACTATGATTTGAATTAAATGAGTAATATCGATTAATTTCATTGATGAGCAAAAAACATTTCAAAAATATAAAGAAATTTTTAACGTTTATCTGATTTTTACCTTAACATATTACTTTGTTAAATTTACTCTTAAATCATTACTACTTAGAACAAAGATTATTTATGTTTAAACACCAACAAGCAATCATCTTGATTCTTGAGTTAGTTTATGACTGTTTATCTAATGAAAAAGATTTTAGATAACATATTTTAGATAGTTGTACCTCTGAAAATTCGTGAGATTAGGATTTATAAAAAGAAAAAAAAACATACACAATTAACGAATAGGCTACATTGAAAGTGAGATTTTCAGAAATTATAACATCACAAACAATCTAAAAGATTAAGCCTATCATCGGCTATAATTTTTTTTATAGTTTATAAAAATAAACTTACTATCAATAATTTCTTGTTTGATTTTGCCCATTTCTTTCCTCATCTCACGCAGAATGTCTTGTTTGAATGCTTCCAGTTCAGCTGATGTTATGGAGGCAGTAGGGGCAGAGTCACCATTAACCTGCAAACATGGAACAACAGCTTAAGTATCTACCTCTAGTGTAGTCAGTGCTAGATTTCTATAATTCAATGTACCGAAACTGAAACGTGGGAGCTAAAAACTTCTTCCTCAAAGACACTACTGTGCATAGTACAACGGAAAACATACACAGCATAGCTCTTTTGTAGGAAATATCTTTCTTTCACTGTTTTGTGGCAGTGCCTAACATTTAACCCTTCCAGGACTATAGGCAGATATATCCGCTAGATAGCGGACAGTAGGCGGATATATCCACTTATCTTTTTGGGCTCCGTGGACAGTAGGCAGATATATCTGCTGATTATTACGACAGTTATTGTTATAGTTGATATCATTAATCTTCTTAAAAACGTTTATTTATTCAATTATATCCTAAACTGATGTACTAGTTCTAAAAGAATAAAAAATTAAATAAAAATATTTTTTTTTTAGGAAAAATAAATAAATTAATACAAAGTAAAAAAAAAGATTTGGACAAAATTGCTGCATAGGTCAACTATTTACAACATTCTATAAATTATAGATATGAAAAAATTATTTTTTGTTTTTATAAAAAAAAAATTATTTTGTTGTCTGTATACGTACTAGGCAGTCTGGGAAGGGTTATTAGTCGTTAAAACTGAACTGTCTGTCACTTATTCATCTTGGCAGTGTTATTCTTGCGTTATTGCACAACAGGGTGAAAAATAAGTTTTATTTTATTTGATTTGAAGATCCTATAACCTAGAGTTTAAAACCTGGATTAAAAAAAAAAAACCCTATCAAATGAAAGCTCCCAAATTCAATTAACTAATGTTTAGAAGGTTTGTGTTTCCCAACAAATTAGTAATGCACCTGACTCGAGATAAAATTCTGTCCGCAGAGAATGGGGAAAACTTATGCTGATGTATTATTTAGCATTAAAGCATCAATCCACTTCAGTTGATTCACCCTCTGTACCCACCGTAGGTCTGGCCTGCAGTTCTTCACTACTAGACGTCAGCTGTTTGCGGCCAGGTTTGGGCGACGACTCGCAGCCATTGCCGAGTTTGTTGGACCCCCATGGAGCCTTTCTGTCCCCTCCTCCATCTCCGTCCTGGATCAACACAGTTGCATTAAAACCCTCTCCACTAAGCTGTACTTTTCTACATTTTTTTTTTAGAAAAACTAAGCAAAACTTAACTGCACAATGCAGTTAACAAAAGTTTTATTTTTTGCTTAATTTTGATAAAACTATATTGAACCATAGTGATCCTTGAGAATATTACTCTTTTAAATCCTTTAACACGATCTAGGTGTTAATTAATACTACTAGTCTTGACATGTTAGTTTGATATAGTGTCTACCTGTGACTGAGTGTCTGCTACATCCTTCTTCTCTACAGCTGCCCGTCGCCTGGCCAGGGTCTTGGCCATCTCGTCCATCATGCTGGCCATGCCTTGTGCCTGGCCACGACCCAATGTGCCGTAGTTACTGCCACTACTGGCACTGCTAGTCGACGACCCGCTGTTTTCTGCTGATTGCTACAACAATAACGGATGATTAAGTATTTAACACCTGAGGAAATGAGGGTAAAAAAGACTCAAAGTGTACCTGTCATTGCGAAGTATGTTTTGAACCAAAGCTGCAACATTTTTTGTTGGTTTGGGAGTTGTGTGTAAACTTTTGTTTTGCTCCCAAAGTCGAGTTATAGCGCTTAGGAATTTGACCACATTAACTTGTCTTTGTAAGCAGAATTATCAACTCTATAGATTACAGAACATATTGACATACACTAATCTACTTTTTTTTAAAGTGTGTACACTAGTGGCATTTTAAATTAAAGAAACTCAAATGCTTGAAAGGAAAAGCAATTCAAATCCATCCAATTAGTGTATGTACGGTGGGAATCAAACACGTCCCTTTCCCAACAAAGTCTGAGACGCTACTAGGCCTACAACACACCCTCCTGTTTTTTAATAGTTCTCGATTGACTAAAGCACCTCTATAAGTTAGTTGATATAACTTGAAATTAGCCCTAACATTGGATAAATAATATTGAATAGTCTATAATAGGTACATTTTACAATGCAAAATTAATACTTTTCATCTAAATATCCAAACGCACCTTGTTCGACCTGCGAAGTCTGGCGTTTTGTAGTTGAGCGGCAAACGAGCTTTGGTCTGGTCCATCAGAGCTGGAGGACCGTGACATGTTGGGTACTGGGGGTGGAGGTGGTGGTGGGGGACCGGCAGACACAGGTGTGGGGGCGGACCAGGGTGGAGGCGGACACGGTGGGGCAGGGGGTGCAGGTGGTGGTGGCTGGGGGGCGGGGGGTGCTGAGGAGGTCCGGTGATGTCCTCCGGGAGGTGTGGGCGGCACGGGCGGTCCCTGAGGCGAACTGGCTATCGGGCTACTGATCACTGCAACACCACCAGCTGTTATGATTCAGCTTACACACACAGTATATTCACCACTAATGTAGAAGTGAAAAGCATTATAACGATATCACTGATATCAGTATTTTTGGCTTCATCATTAATATTTTATAGTACACCTGAGTCCTGGTAGTCTGAACTAATTGTGACCTAACGCTGTTCGGATTACATAATTATTGACTATAAATATATTTTCCTGCAATCATACTTGGGAAAAACGAATAGAAATATTAACGAATAGCGCTATTCGTTCGTTTTTTCGGCTAACTTCTATTTTAGTCGATACTTTTTAAAAAGAGCTCAAAATAACTTCTACTCAGTTAGTTTTATAGCCAGCGAATAGATAATATATTCGCTGGTTTTAAATCGTTAAGTTTTTGGTCAGGCGAAAGTGTTTCCAATAGCCTACGGGTTATTTATTTGATGTGTTCAGTGAGGGTTGCGAGCGTACGTGAGAGGTCAGCGCCCTTGTGACAAACAACGTGGGGGGTGGGGAAAGAGAAAGTCAAAGTCCAGTCGCTTTGGTATGCAGCGGACCCAGGGGGCGGGACAATGGCAGCCAATAACAACACCCCAAGCACCGAAGGGTGGGAAGGGGGGTGTTTGTTTGGCGATTGATATGTAATCTCAAGTGTCAAAACAATGTCTTCACTTCAGTCGAAGTTCATTATCTTATCTGACTGTTGACCGTGACAGGTGTTAGTTAATTTGTTTTCGCCCAAGTGTTTTTGGTTGTCTTGTCGGTACAGTCCAACCTCAGTATAACGAATCTGAAGGGACCGAACTGAATATTCGTTATATCAAGTATTTCGTTAAAACGAGGTTCGTTATATAGAGGTTATGTTTGCAGGAATTTCGCTAAGTCGAGGTTCAGAACCAGCGTCGGTCAATATAGGTCGGGATTAAACATCATTAAAACACAATTAAAGTAGCATAGGCTACAATACTTTACAGTACAGTGTTTACATTGTACAGCAGAACCTAAATTATCCGGCGGGGAGGGATCTTGAATATTGCGCAATCATGACAATGGCATTGACCTTGGTACAGGTTAAAAACTGTAAGCTTAAAATCACAGCTTGATCTAACCCTCCTAAAACCTAGCCAAATACTGTATTGCGTAGTCATAAACCATGTAAAGAACAAAACAAAACAGTAGAAAGTTTTGTAAGCTACTGCTGAAGGCCGGTAGGCTACTTACAGTACAGTACTGATTTATCACAACAGAGGAATGCCAATAATAATCATCAACTATAGGTGTTGCTAGTTGAAACAAATCGTATTGAAAACAATAAATTATTAGATAAGTCATTATAAAAGTGTATAATCATAGCCAACTTAAGGATAATAAAAACACTCGTAAAAGGAATGTTAAAATAACGATGTTGCTATTCTTTCTCTTTGGTTTTGTTTTTATATTCTTTCTTAGGATTCTCTTTATACAAAAATTGTACAATTCACCATAGCTATCCTATATCGCCCAATCACAGCTTACTAAACATTACGTCGTCATCAGTCCTCAGTAAATGAAATCAGTTCTCAGTTGCAACATAGCGCGCACAGCGACAGCAGACAAAGATGTAAAACGGAGCAGACGAATGTTAGCGCAAGCGATGACGTGACCTTTCCATTTTATTTGATAAAGAAACAGATTTTTCAAAAACAATAATGGGTTGGGGGATTTGTTATATCGAGGGAATGACGCAGACAATTCGTTATGCAGAGGTTAAATTCGCAATGTAGAGGTTCTGACAATGATAAATTCGCTATATTGAGGTGTCTTATTTTAGCCGAAATCACGAAAAATTCGTTAAATCAAGGTAGTTGTTATGGTTTGTTCGTTATGTAGAGGTAAAATATACATTGTGTCTTATAGAGAGTTCTAGGGGATTTGAGAAAATTCGTTATATCAAGGAATTCGTTGTATCGAGGTTCGTTAAATCAAGGTTAGACTGTATACATATTTTAGTGATAGTTAAAAATTTGTTATACAATAGTTATTAAGGTGAACAGTGTTGATTAAGTACAGTAGATTAATAATATTGGTTTCCAATGGCGGGCGAGTGTGATATTAAGTGGCCAAACTTAAGTGACATTTTCCAACAATTCTTTGTTTCTGTTGTTTTTTCTTTGAACAATATTCCAACAAGTTGAAAAAAATGAAAACGTTCGACTAGCGTTGAAATGTTTATTGTGTTTACCCAAAACAAAAATAATTAAAGCATCAGTCACAAGTGCTTTGAATTTGAAATAATTAAAGCATCAGTCACAAGTGCTTCGAATTTGAGAGCGCATATTAAGGTAGGTAAGTGGAGAAAAAGTATGATGGTCTCGTTGTTAACTTTAAGGGATTATACATTTTTTTAATGAATATAATTTATATTTTTATGTACAGTTATAGTGTTTTTCTCAATGCTTTTCCCATGCTCTTATAAACACAAACACTATCTCGCCACAAATAGGTCACTTTCAAAACTAGGAGTTAACTATACTTTTATCACACTGGGAAAACTACTTCATCAGCCTTTAAAAAGTATCTGATATTTCGTAATACATTAATTGTTTCTAAGTTAAACACAATACGGCTGTACAATTAATTTTACAGTAACATTCAACTAATTGAACGTCAACAAACTGTGTTTTGAGTTTAACCTAACCGGGAACTTCAGCTGTAACTTATGTTTGTGTATCGAAAGTAATGTTTATGTCAGGAAAGGTGAGATGATCACTATTTGTTTTTGAACTATTGAATACAGAGTGATGACAAGATTTGTATCACCTTTGTCGGGGAAATAAATATGTGCCCTCGAGTTTGAGCCTAAATCTCTCAGAGATTATTTATCCGATTTTGTTGAAACAAAAGTTAAGTATAAGCTGGTTTAAATAAATTTTACGTGGTGTCAATTAAAAAATTTCCGTTCACCAGAAAAATGTATATAGTTAGTTGAAAGATCCTAAAAAGTACCGGGTTTTAAGTAACTTTGCACTAACACTAATTGAGTGAGTTTCTGACACACACACTGAGTTTCTGACTGAAAACAATATCTTATGCAACTCACAGTCTGGCTTTCGAGCAGCCCACAGTACAGAAACAGCACTCTTACGTGTGACGGACGACATTAGACTAGCAATGGAACATCGGCAGGGTACGATTCTTACCCTATTTGATTTTTCTAAAGCCTTTGACTGTGTAAATCATAAGCTCCTTTTGGAAAAGCTAAGGGCCATAGGGTTTTCAAATGGTGTATTGGACTGGCTGGGATCCTATCTGTCAGACAGGCGGCAATGTGTTGAGGTTGATGACTTACGTTCTGACTGGGAGACAGTTACTAGTGGTGTGCCTCAGGGGTCCATCCTTGGCCCTCTGCTGTTCGTACTATACATAAATGACTTGAGCTCAGTCCTCACACACTGTAAATACCACATGTATGCTGACGACTTACAGATTTATACACATTTTTCACCCAAACAGATCAACGAAAGTGTTCTGAGAGTGAACGAAGATATTGAGAAAATCATTACTTGGACTAATAAACACGGACTCAGACTTAACCACGAAAAAACTAAACCGATCATAATTTGTCATCCACGTTTACGGAACTCTATTGACTTTCTGACGACGAATCCAATAACTATAAATGGAACAGATTTGCTTTACAATGACAAGGTCAAAAACTTAGGGCTTACTATCAACTCGACACTTACTTGGGGCGATGCGGTAGTAGACATCCGTAAAAAGGTGTTTGCATCAATCCACTCACTTAAAAAGTTACAGAATTTCTTGCCTTTGCACATAAAGTTACACCTGGTTAAATCACTTGTTTTTCCCCACTTCACTTACTGCAGCTCTGTGATCAATGACATGACTGTAAACCTCGCTGATGCTCTCCAACGCGCTCAGAACTACTGCCTAAGATTCATTTATGATCTAAGACGCAGTGAGCGCATCACACCTTTCTACATTCATTCTAAGTTATTAAAGCTATGTGACCTGAGATCAATCAAAATTCTTTCGCTAACCTATTCAATATTAAAAAACAATTTTCCAAAATATTTTGTAGATGATTTTAGGTTTGTAGCTGAAGAAAGTGTCAGATACTCACGCCATGCATCATTAACTTTGCGTATGCCTCACCATAGGACCGCAGTTTACGACAGAGCGTTTATTGTAACTGCTTGCCGTCTTTGGAACGATCTTCCTTTAGCTATTAAATCCCTCGATAGTCGTTCCCGGTTTGTGGCAGCGCTAAAAAATCTCTATTTTGAACGTATGGCCATGGTAGGTTTGTCGTAGGGGCCTGTGCGCATGGCGGTCGCTGACTTGTATGTATGTGTGAGTGAGTGTGTGTGTGTAAGTATTTTTAAAATTTACTGATTTTTGATAAAAGTTTCTGTATCTGAGTTTCTGTAGATTTCTGTTTTGTTTTATTGTATAAGCTGATTATGTTAAAATATTTATATTATGTTTTAAAGTACAGGTTAAGTGTAAGAAAGGGCCATGTGGCCCTAACTTTGCCTGTATAAATAAATGATTTTTCATTTCATTTCATTTCATTTCAACACTGAAGTTAAAAATGTATTTTTAAACAAACCACTGAGCCAATCTTTCTGAAACTTTTATGGGTTATTGGTAGGTTCATTGTTAACATTTCCATGCATTAAAAAAAATTTATTCACAGTAGTTTTTATGCTACTGTTAATTTTTAAAACGTATGCTAACATCGTTAATAAGGCACTGAAAATTACGTTCAAAATATCATCGTGTATATTTAAGAATAAGAATAAGAATCCTTTATTGTCATTAGACACAGTTGTGCAATAGACATTGTCAAAGAAATAAACTAGAAAATGTAACAGAGTCATGAACATTATCACAGTAGACCTTTTATAACATACATGTAAAACTTAGCCTATATCACAGAAGAGATCACAGTTGTCAATTGAGAATAAATGTCATAAAATAAAAATTGTTGAATAACAATGCATGTTACTTAAAATCTATAAAATCAGTAGCACTCAAATGCAAAAACTCATTAACAGAATAAAGTGGGTGCTTTAGAAGACCATTTGTTACAACAGTTTTAAAATTAGCAAAGGATTCAATATTCTTGACATGATGAGGTAGTATATTGTACAGTTTAAGCCCTATAACATTAGAGCTTTTGGCTGCTTTGGTCAATCTACAAAAGGGAATGTCAATTTCATTCTTGAGCCTTGTGTTGTGGCTATGTACATTTAGCCGTTTCAACAAGAATACAGATTGTTTTTTTACTTCTAATAGAACATACAAAACATATAAACTAAAGACAGTTAACACTTTTTCATGGATAAAAATAGGCCTACAGTGCTCTGAGTAGTCAGCTGAAGCTAGTATTCTGACAGCTTTTTTCTGAACCAGTAAGACATCATGTACTCCAGCTGCATTTCCCCATAAACATATGCCATACAGTAAATTACTTTGAAAGAAACTATTGTAAGCAAGCTTGAGATATGACTTCGGGACATTTTTATCTAAAGATCTTAGTAAATATACAACTCTTGAAAGTTTGTTACAAATATAATCCGTATGAAATTGCCATGTCAATTTTCTATCAAGAACTAAGCCTAATAGTTTAACATTACTTAACCCTAATTGATCACAGGAGGGAGAATCACTAGCCTTGACATTTTTATTACTAAAAACTATGGTTTGAGTTTTGTCATTGTTAAGTATGAAACCATTGGTACTGAACCAGTTGGATACACTTTTAAGGGCACTTTCAGAATTCAAATTGACAGTTTTTATATCAGAACCAGCATTAAACAAAGTAGTGTCATCAGCAAAACATACAGTCTCAAATGGCACATTAACATCAATGTCATTAACCATGACAAGGAATAAAAGAGGTCCAAGAACCGAACCTTGCGGCACGCCAAAGGGTACAAGTCTCTTACATGAATACTGATTATTGACACAGACTATTTGTTTTCTATTATCTAGGTATGAGCTAAGAAGTGACAGAGTTGTATCAGTCACCTTGTAGTACTTTAACTTAGCCAGCAATGTCTCATGACAAACACAATCAAAGGCTTTACTGAGGTCACATAAGGTGACACCAGTATCGGCTCTGCTTTCAAGGTTTGCTAGGATTGCATCTACAAGATAGGTCACAGCTTGAATTGTAGATTTCCCAGTTCTGAAACCATACTGTATAGTTGAAAACAAGGAATTATCTTCAAAATAATTGTACAGCTGGTCATGTAAAATTCGTTCAAAAACTTTGGCAAAGACTGGAATTAAAGCTATTGGCCTATAACTAGCTGGGAGATCTCTGCACCCTTTCTTAAAAACAGGAACAACCTTAGATAACTTAAGCTTTGCAGGAAATACACCTTCAATAAGACAACTATTTATACAATAGGTTAAAGGCTCTACAATCACAGGTAAAATAGACTTTAGCACATCACTAGACAGGCCATAAATATCACGACTTTTAGAACTTTTTAGAAGCCGCACATGCCGCGCTACCTCCTCACATGACACTAACTTCCATTCCAAACCGGGTGCTGCAATGCTCTTGGTTTTGAGAAGATCCACTGCAGCCGAAGGAACGCCACCAGATTTCTCCGCCACCTCCAACACCAAGTCAATGAAGAAGTCGTTGAAGTCGTTTGGTTCCACAGAAGTATTGGGTTGATGTTTCCTCGAAGATTCTTTCCGAATGGCCTGCCAAGCTGCTCTACACTTGTTGTCGGATTTTTCAATACAGTCGGCAACAAACTGTTTTTTGGCAGTCCTCAGTTCTTGTTTGTATGTCTTTCTATATTCAGTTAGAGCTTGAAGGGATGCTGAGGTTTTAAGAACATTGTGGCGATCAAGGAGAGCCATGAGGATACTTCTACTCTTCTTCAGGTCTTCATTGTACCAGGCTTTACCACCAGAGAACTGTCCACCGGAGTTGCAATTTGGGTCTCGCTTCTTCTGCAGCGGAAAGGACTCATGGAAACCAAGCAATATTTGGTCAAAAAATAAATTAAAAATTTCTTCAGAGTTTGTACCTAAGGCTAGTACAGACCAGTCAACACTGCTTAAAAACTGGAAGAAGGTATTTATTCGGGCTTCTGTTATGGGCCTATGGTATACAAGGGAGTTGGACTGTTCAAGATAAGTTTTCTCGGAATAGGCTAGGCGTATGTCTAAGTTAACTGCAGCATGGTCAGAAAGGCCATAATCCATAACTGTATTAATATAACTTGAATAATTGAGATCAGTCAAGATATTGTCGAGAACTGCATTACCTCTTGTAGGCGTAGAGTTGGTTGGATGTAAGTTGAACTGCCTCATAAGTCTTGCAAGTTCACGCTGGATTGGTTTGGTAAAATCAGCCACCAAATCTACATTGTTTACTTATTGAACTATTTGAAGTTAACTTATTGTGACGTATTTGTTTCATGGTTCTAGTGAATATTTTGTTAGTAAATTTATGTTACATAAAACAGTAAGTTAACTATAAATATACACGCACATCGGCAACGTCGCAGGGGCGCACGCGTTCCCGCCCGGCTGGGAAATATGGTACAAACATCAGGCGGCCCGGCCCGCTGCCAGTCACGGGAGAAATTTTTGTTTACAAATGTAAATCTGTTTAAAATCCACCTTTGTTCGCATTATAAATCTAAAATCTGTCATATTGGTGTTATTACTTGTGTCACAGCAAACACTATAGTATTTTGAACGAAATTTTCAGTGTCTTATTAACGATGTAAGCATACGTTTTAAAAATTAACGGCAACATAAAAACTACTGCGAATACAATTTTGTAAATGCACATATATGTTATTAATGAACCTTATATTTAATTTTGTTTCAACAAAATCGGGTAATTCATCTCAGAGATATTTTCGCTCAAACTCGAGTACACATATTTATTTCCCCGATAGTAATTTTTGTAGCAAAAGTATTTATTAATAACATGTTGCAATACTTGCAATTGTGGGATTTTTCAAGATTTGTTTAAATTGACTAACAAGTCAGATTTCATCAATTATTTTATGCTGCGATTAACAATATTTGGCTTCCATTTTAGGGTATAATTATCATTGCTATGAAAACATAGTGTACTGTACTATTACTTAGTGTAACTATTCAAATTGTTTTTTAGGCCACACATCCTTCTAAGATTTTGGATTTCAATGAAAATTAATTGAAAAAAAGGGTCGCAAACGAAAAAATGACTGTACTGATATTACCGAGCCTGTGCTAAAACCATTCTAGTATTTAATTAAAACACAATTAGTAACCAAAGATGTGTCATTATTTCATTACATATTAAATCCTTTAAAACAACTGTCCTGTCCAACAAACAGCTATCTTCTACGAATGTCGAAAACTAACTTTATTTTCTATCAGTTAGTTTTTCAACTAACTAATAACTTCTATCAGTTACTTTTTAAACCAACTAACTAGTAACTTCTATCAGTTACTTTTTATGGGACTAACTTCTAACTTCTAACTAGTTAGAAATTTTGACTAACTTTCCCAACTATGCCTGCAATCACAACAACACTGTAATCTGTGATTGTCTCGCATGTTCACAAAATCACCAGAATAGTTTCCCGGGAACACAGCGACATCAGATCGTTTCCGGTGATCTTCCAAAATTACAAAAACACTCGTGATCGCAACACTTACTACGCGATGACCTTAAAAGGGAACTAAAAGAACACATTGACAAATCGATGCTTAACCATAGACTTTTAGGGATTATTCAAAATGTCCCGATGCCAAAAAGTTTACAGACTCCAGTCAAAATAATGTACAGTAAATACAATTCTCAGCTTTCTTGGTTTTTAGATTGGTAGGGTACCCTGAAAAGTATTTTAGAACACATAGGCTATCTTTATTTTAATTTTAAAATCAAACTTTCTTTCCAACCAAATAGGTGGTTTGGATTAGCTGGACATTCAGATTAGTTAAGGTCTGGATTAACGGTGTTCTCTGATTAACAGGACTCTGGTAGTTACAGTATAACGGAAAAGGTTTTAGGCACCTGTACTTTTTAACCCTATTAAAATTGTTAATATCCTAAACAGATGGTAAAAATATGATCCTAGTATTCTCCCTCATCCAGACAATTGTAAAAATGACAGGGGCTTGACAATAGTTTGAATCAAATCGCCAGTTTCAGATATACATTCAAGTCAATGATTCATCTTACTGGTTGCAGTAGATGAACGACCAATGTTATAGACTAATTGGTTGAAAACCTATCGATTTATTTCACTACGGTCAGAGAATATGTATCTACAAGAAGATGTTAACTAGAAAAAGTCCCATGGTTTTTATGAAAAAATGCCATCGAACCATACTAATAGTTACACAGTAGAACAAAATACCTGTCACACCTTGATTTCATAAATCATCTCTTGTACTTCAATAGTTATCACAAGTAATCATAAAAAATAAAGTAGGCCTACACCTGTATTAAATACTGTACAAATAAAAAAAAAAATGTTTATCTTACTTTGATTTTGTTGAGACATTCTTCTTTCTTGAATTTGTGCTGCATCTTCTCTCGTCATTGTCCTGCAACGTCATAAAAAAAGAAATTAAAAACAAATACTGTATCATTAAAAGCGGATTAATCCAAACAAATTCCTACAACAAAAGTTTATCTAGAAAATAAATTACTTTTAACATAATATTTTTAAGTGATCAAAACAATACAAGATTATTGTGTAGTATAGATAGAGAGTATTCATAATACTGTAACAATTCAATATTTCCACTTATATTTTTCATAGATAATTTAACTTTCACCATATAGACGAGTCAATTTAGCCCAAAAAAGCCTCTAAGATAGAACAAATTCCAACAAATGGTTTTTCGACGGTTTTTGGTAGTAATAGGTGTAGAAAGTACCAGGAAAAAAGTCTACCAAAATCGGACAACCGGAAGTCGGGTTTTTCCAAGATGGCCGCCGTGAGGCCCTCAAATCGACAAGATGACTGCAAATTCGTCGATTCATAGTTCCAGGATTGGCCGATTTCCACGAAAATTGGCAAACACATGTAGAACTATATTTCCAACCTTAAATATGAAAACTAGGCAGACAAAGTAACCCAAAGATGAATTTTCAGGGTATTATGAGCTAAAAAATAAGATTTTTTACCTCAAATATATGTTTTTCTAATATTTTGTACAAAGTTTGTTATAATTTCAAATTTATTTTTTCACCATTAGATTCAACACAAAAAACCTAATAATTTAGTATATTGAATCTTTGTTTTACTTCAATTTGTTACAGAGATATTGAAAGTAATAACTTTAGTATGTTTTCTTGCCGAGATAGCTCAATGTTAATCTTATGGAGAATTTTTAAGCATAAATATTAATATTATTTTTCATTAAACCTATATAGATAAGACTTTTTGTTCTGCTTCATATTATCTGTTTTAATGTTTTTTTTTACTAAAAAATCCTTTTTTGGCAGTTATCAATGCAGCAAACCTACGTATTCGGTTCCTCAGTTTTAATCATAAAGAGAATAAGCAAAAATCAATTTCTTATTAGTCCGAGAAGTATAGAATATAACCTTAAAAACAATACAAGAAAACGTTTTACGGTTTTATGTAGTAGTTTTGGGTGTGCAGAGTCGGATTTTCCCAACATTGGACAAATTTTGAAAAAAAGATACCATAAGCATTTTCTATGCACAATTTTCTAAATATTGACTTGGGACCAACATCGATATTTATTGGGTGGTCAGTACTTCATTTCGATGGGAAACGTATTTTGGCCGCCATTTTGGATCCACCTTATTGGATATAATTTTTTGTTGTTGTAACGACAGTGTTGTGACACATTATTACTATATATACTAGATTTTCACGCATATTCCATTGCCGAAATCCGTTTTTAAATACATTTTTTTGTTTTAAACGTTTTGTACTTTGAAATTTTTTACGATTATTTACCTTATCTTTAGTTAGTAGTTCATTCTTAAATAATTAATGATGTAAGGGCTTTCATTTGAGCTATTGATCATTAAAATTGGACGAGTTAGAGACGAGATACCAATCCCAACAAAATATTAAATTTAACTTTTTATAAATCAGTTTTTATTAAATGATTTATATCTCGGGTTCTTAATACGTCACCAAGTTCTTTCTGGTCTCAAATTACTCAGTAGAGAATTAGGTTTTTTATTTTATTAGTCACTAAATAATATCTGACTAATTAATAAAAAATGAGTCATGCACCTTAATTTAATATTAAATTATTTGCATTTGAAATTTGTCTTTAGTTAAGTACATAAATCCCCAATTCTAATAACTCCCAATAAATAATCCATAACTACAGTAAAAGTCAATACTTTAATGAATCTTTTAAGATTATAAAGAGTATTGGGAGTTATTTTTCGATTTGGGGGTATATGTCTTAAACTAAAGACAAATCTCGAAAAAAATTATTGTTAAATAAGACAGACCCATATTAAATTTGTCACATTGTATTTAGTGATTTAAAAAATTAACCCAAACATTTACTGAGTAATATTAAACCAGAAAGAACTTGGTGGCGTATTAAGAACCCGAGATATAAAGATTTTAATAAAAATGTATTTCTAAAAGTGAAATTTAATATTTTGTTGGGGTTGGTAACTAGTCTCTAACTCGTCAGATTTTAACGATCAATAGCTCAAATGAAAGCCCTTACATTACTAAATGTTTAAGGCTAGAAAAAACTGCAAGCGTTAATATGTACTGGAGATATAAGAAAAAATAATCTTATACAATGTTCAAAATACGAAACGTCCTTAAGAAATACATGCAGGAGAATTTTCGTTTGAATATATCTTTAAAACGAAAAAATGATATTTAAAAACTCATTTTGGCAATGGAATGGGCGTGAAAATCTAGTTTAAAATTATGTGTCACAACATTGTCATTACATTAAAAAAATTATTTATATCCAATATGGCCGATCCAAGATGACGGCCAAAAACACGTTCCCTATTGAAATGACACTGTCATTACATTTAAAAAATATTTATATCCGATAGGGGGATCCAAAATGACGGCCAAAAACACGTTCTCTATCGAAATGAAGAAATGACCACCCAATAAATATCAGTGGTGGTCAATATCAATGAAAATACATGTGGATTTTTTTAAATTTTTCCAATGTTGAGAAAATCCGTATATTAAATCTTGATTCTAGGGGTTTTCCAGTAGACCGATTTTTGGCAATTTTTACTATGTTACTCTGCATACCCAACACTACAACATAAAACCATAAAAGGTTTTCTTGCAATTTTTTAAGGTAATATTCTATACTTCTCGGACTACAGAAATAAAAAATTGATATTTGGTTATTCTCTTTATGATTAAAACTGAGGAACCGAATACACAGGTTTGCTGCAATGGTAACTGCCAAAAAAGGAATTTTTAGTAAAAAAAATATTAAAACAGATAATATGAAGCAGAACAAAAAGTCTTATCTATATAGGTTTAATGAAAAATAATATTAATATTTATGCTTATTCTCCATAAGATTAACATTGAGCTATCTCGGCAAGAAAACATACTAAAGTTATTACTTTCAATATCTCTGTAACAAATTGAAGTAGAACAAAGATTCAATATACTAAATTATTAGGTTTTTTGTGTTGAATCTAATGGTGAAAAATAAATTTGAAATTATAACAAACTTTGTACAAAATATTAGAAAAACATATATTTGAGGTAAAAAATCTTATTTTTTTAGCTCATAATACCCTGCAAATTCATCTTTGGGTTACTTTGTCTGCCTAGTTTTCATATTTAAGGTTGGAAATATAGTTCTACATGTGTTTGCCAATTTTCGTGGAAATCGGCCAATCCTGGAACTATGAATAGACGAATTTGCAGTCATCTTGTCGATTTGAGGGCCTCACGGCGGCTATCTTGGAAAAACCCGACTTCCGGTTGTCCGATTTTGGTAGACTTTTTTCCTGGTACTTTCTACACCTATTACTACCAAAAACCGTTGAAAAACCATTTGTTGGAATTTGTTCTATCTCAAGTGCGTATATTTACTCGACTAATATGTTTTCTTTGTATCAATATGTCAATTTATCAAACCTTGTATAATATATGACCAAACAGACCAATGGGTAATTGATTCGAAACAATATAATATAGAAATTTTCAAATAACATAATTTCATGTAAATATAAAATTGCTTCAAATTCAATATAATTTTATTTAAATAACTTTTCAAAATTATAATTTAGCTCTCTAGCAAATAAAATTTGTTATAATATGTGTGAACAGTGGCCTACAATTTTATGTGATTAAGTCAGCATTGACATATGTGAGTGCAACAATGCATCAGACCTTCATCACTTCCAATGGAGCTGAGCTAGTATGAAGATGTAAATTGGATACTACCTATTTTAATATCAAAATTTATAAAAAAAGTGTCTATGTTTGAACCTAAATTAGTTAAATTCGATTGAAAAAGAACCGTCCTTATTACAAACATTAATAATTAAGTTACAACATCAAGAAATTTGCTGCGAAGAAGACATCAATTTGGTGAGATCACTCCAAAGGACATTTCCCCTTTGGAAGCCATTAAAACATTTTTAGGCCTAACCTTTGGACATTTGTACTCAAATTCAAAGTCAAGAAACTAATAGAAGCTTAATATTCAGAACTTTAATTAATTCAACCGATCTATAATTTGAACCTATTTTATATTTCAAACAAAATTTTAATTAGGCTATATAAAATCACAAGATTAAATTCAAATGCCGCTCGATCACCCCACCTGAGATAAAGATTCATGCAATAAATTTTAACACCTGAACCTTTAGAACTATTGTTATAGGCTTAACCTAAAGCTTTCCTTATTAAATTCATTCCCCACTGATTATAAACTTTATTGTGAACCCTTTATTTTCTTTTAATATCAATTTTGTATTTTAATTAAATAAATTTAAGTTTCAAAATTGTACATGGAGTTTCCATTGTATTCTTAATTTTAAGGATGATTACAAAACATTTAAATAGTTAAGTTGAAATTTTTAGAGTATAAAAAAAATGCTGTATGAGTTCTCTGGGGTATTTGTTTACCCAGCAAGTGGGGAAAAATCAATCAAATTATTAAACATTTCATATTTATGTTTTTTTAGTTGTTCTTTAAAAGACCAAATTGAAACTTGATAGAATTTTGTATAGTTCATCATATTACATAAGGAAAAAATTATCTACAAAGCAAAAACAGGCTTCAAACTAAACTTGACAATGAGAACACCAAAAACACTTATATCCTTGAGACGTTGCTGTTCTTAAAATAATAAACTGTGACTGACAGCTTTAAGGTTTTGTGTAATAGGAATAGCTCTTATCTTTAAAATGCATTCTAATTAGTTGTCAGTCGCAACATTGCCTCAATGTTAGTCTTTTAACCAATTTAAAGTTTTGTATTTTAAGTTTTGTACCTAGATTTAAGATAGCCTCTAGCTGCTACCCTCCAAGCCTAACTTTGACCTTCAAGTTATAATGGAGAAGCGTTTACAATTTGATAATTTTAATATGTTTAAAATAATATTTAAAAGTTATTATAATTTTTTGCTTTTCCAACCTTGAATTTGGTTTGATTGTAGAATCAAGATTCGACTGTGTGTGTGATGATTATTTTTTTTAACTTTTACTACCACTATAGATAGTAGGCCTACCTTGCGTGTGTGTGAGTGTTAGGACTGAGGTCTATCCGCTGGGGACCTCCTGGTGACACCTGGTGGTAGATGCCTCGTGCAGACCCAATACTGCCAGTGCTGTAACATCACAGTAAACTATCTACTTCTTGTCCACATAACTACTAAATAAGTTTTTGTCTTAAGATGCAGATTTGACATGCAGAAAATAGTCCTGACAGGGGTTTAAGATTACCTATATGGCCCAGTCAGTAAAGGTTTTGTGTTGGAACAAATTAGTAACAAGAAAGAATCATTAGAACCTATTCCGATGTAAATTTTTCCTTAAGTCCCCTAAAATCCCTCGATGCTTTCCCCATCACTTAATAGGGTGTTAGACAATCCAGTTACAACCTTTTCAAATTTAACTTTACTTTTTTGTATTTTTTGGGATGTTCACAAATTTGCAATGCAATTTCCAAGGGTGTTGCTAGACGAGTAGTTAACCTCTCAGTCTTTGGTATGAGAGGGACAGATTTGTTTACTACTTGATGAGTTTGGACCTCTTGCCTTAAAAGTGTTAAGTGATTCATTCTTTGAAAATGCATCTAGAAACAACAACTCACCTCTCAGTAAGGTATTGCATGGTTTTACAGAAATGCATTAAATTCAAGTATTATTCCATGAAATAACATATTTAGCTTATTGTATTAGCAATTACATTTTTTCTACAAAGTCCTTTTTTGACTTATGTAAATCTACTATTTTCCAAAGTTTAAGTCCAAAACGTAAAATCTTAGGTATTTTTTTACTGTCATTTGATATTTGTCTTTTGTTGTTTTTGTTGTTGTGGTCGATAGAAAAAGGTTGTAAGTATTTTTCTGTGTACATAATACACATATGAGCATAACTTTGTGATAAAACTGTGAGCAGGAAAGTGGCCTGACTGGACGGCAGTCCGAGCGCTCACTATCAAACACGCTCACCTGTAAGTCTGTGAATCATCGTCGTACTGGCCGTTAGCCTGTTGGTACTGTGTGTTGTTGTTGTTGGTCTGGTACACTGTTGTGATTGGTTGCACGACGGGCGGCTGCGGCGGAGGAGGGGGACCCGCAGGCCGTGTAATGGCGTTGCTCAGGACCTACAAAACACATAGTTTTCTGTGAATCTTGTAAAATATTTCTTGTTTGGTTTAAAAATTAAAGAGTAAACCACACTGAAAATTTTAATCTTAAATAAGTAAGAAACATTTATTCCACATCAGTACAGCCAACCTTACTAGACATTGAAAACATCAAAACAGGCTACTGTACTAAGATTGATATGAAACATCACGAGGTATACACACAGTTTCAGTTTAAGACCAGCTAGTAAAAGCAAACAAAACAATATTTTCTTACTTAGGTTCCATTTTAGACGACCCATTCACCATTCTCATGTTAAAGTGGTGGGAAGTTTAAAAAAATAATGTGGTTAACCAAAGCTGTAAATGGGTGTGATGATGACAGTTACTGATTACTGTCATTTACCAAAACTTTTCAACCAATTTGAACAAGAAATGTCAACTTCCTGTAAACTAAAGTGTCTTTCATGATCCGTTCATGAAAAACGTACCAAAAACTAAGAGAGACAAACACTCTGAGAGAGAGTAGCTCCTTTAAAACTGTGATCAATTTTAATGCAAAACTAGATACAGCTCTTCCACAAAAATGGAATGTCTTCAATATCAAAAAGGATTTTATAGCTTTAAAAATATTTTGATTGCAGTCGATTTTTCTACCTGAAATTGAACTACAGTAGACTCCCTCTTATCCAGACACATTTTAACCGGACAATGTTTATAAGCACAGCAGTTTAACCAAACTGAAACGATATCAGGTGTTTTTTGTGTCTACAGTAACCATTCCAAAGTGTCTTTTTTTACCATTTTTACGTAATAATCGTTATTGGCGTATACATTAAGCATTCGACATTCCTAATTCAAAGAGTTTTAGAAGACGTCGGTTTAACCTGTAAACCGTTTATCCGTACTGGTCTTGGTCCTTAGGAGTCCGGATAAGAGGGAGTCTACTGTAAGCCAGTTACATAACAAAAGTTGCACATTATAGTAGGCTTAATAACAAGGGGGAATTCTGATATTAACAAAATTCTAAAAAAGTTGTAACGGTTAGCAGAGTTCCTAATACGTACGTCGAGCGCGTGGAACATGGCCCTGGCGAAGTTGTCTGCATCCTCCTTGTTGCTGAAGTTGAGTCCGTAGACTTGTTTGTTGTCCCGCCACTGGTGAAATGTGTTGGTCGCTTGGTTGTACTTCAGTCCTTTGATTATGGCACAGTTGATCACCACCTGTAACATCACACATTCAAATTGATAAGTTAAAATCAATTCATGACAATTGTGTATGGTGAAGAACTGAAAAGTGGTCAAAAATACAGTTCACAAACCCAATGCCCACAATTGGGCGTATTGTGGGGTTTTCAGGATCATAAAACAAAGGAAAATCAATTTGTTATCAAGTAAAGGTTTTTTTTAGAGGTTGGGGTCTCTTTTACCATACATTTGGCCGACCACATGTTCCGTGGCTTGTGTTTAAAACGTAACCAGCAAAGCAAGGAGTGAGTCGGTACAGTACAAGAATGAACTGTAGTGATGAAAGTAGTGCCAGGTACCAGGATCCGAATTCACAACATTATTTGGGCCCGAAGTCTGTGACGCTACTGACTCACCTAATTACATTCTATATCAACAGGAATGGTTGTGATAGTTATTGATTTAAATAGTTTTTAGTAAGAAAGTAAAGTAGCCCGTTTAACTAATGCACTCGTTCAATCACAAGAACATTCAAAAAACACTTCTGGAAAAAATAAAACATAAAACTATTTAAAACTATGTCAGAAGTATACAATAAACTTTTAAATTCCTATTTAAATGTATTTCTTACACAATTGTGTATTAAATTAATTTACCACAACTAGGAAAGAAATTCAATCATTTAATGAATGGAAATTAAGTAATTTAATACAAAAAATCCACTTAGGGTTATGGCTTTTATTACCTAAAAACCTCTCAAACTTGTAGGGAGAAAATATTTTAGAATAATGTTTACAGAACATTATGCATAATAACTTTTCTGGTTTCAAATATTATTTACGACTTACATACCCAAGCGTTATCACATTTAAAACTTTCCTTAAATTTTCTGAACCAGAACAACTGCTGTTGGAGACCAGAGGCAAATACAAAAACAGACAGAGATGATATGTTATGAAGGGTGTGTCCCTTTACATTTAACTGTTAATAATTTATCCACGCCACACTGCAATCAAACAAATTGACATGTACATTCTTCAAGTTTTATTCATGTTTATTGTGCCAGAAAAAGTTTTGTAAAAATAATTTATATTGGCACTATTTAGGTATAAAAATATAATGGCTATTTAGAAAAAGGGAAAAGCTGTCTCTTAAATACAATAAAGCTAAATAAAAATAAACGGTATGAGCAATCTTACACATACTTTCTTACATTAGCTTGCCAACTCTCCTTTAAATAAGCACCTTGTATTGTGTACCAGAGGACAAGAAATTGTTATTGAATTAAATAAACCTTGACAGAATCAACAGAATGAATATAAGAAGGATTCAACTAGAAATTATCTGAATCGTACAAAAAATACTAAAAAATCACTTAAGTGCTAAATATCTATACCTACATTCATTCATTCATTCATTCAAATAGTCTTTATTCAATATATAACATGAAACATACATGTATCTGAATAGAGTCAAAATCTATATAAAAATCATACACATTAAAACATAGATCTACGCAAATGTCCATTATGAAAAATATTATTAACCTACTCAACATTATTTTCAACATATACCTCTTGAGAATCCAAAATTTCCAAGGTTTTTTCACACTGTAAAAACCACGTCTGGGGCACTTTGGCAAGTTACTTTGCTTAAATCGACACCAGAATGATAATGATGCTCACAGCATAGACGAGTAGAACGTAGAAAAACAGATAAAACATGATTTTCATGTTGGAGGCGGACTGAGCACAGACGCGGTCAGGGTTGGTAGGACACTAATTAATTGTGTGAGGCAGAGCAGCGGCGGATAAGGGCTTTGAGGACCTCCCTACGCTATTGTCTCCGATATTGATTTTATTAGAATTCTTGTTGACACTAAACAAACCGACTTCCAATTAACCACCGATCAATAATCTAAACACCTTGATAAAAAGGATTTTATATTAATTCACTAAACTACTAACTATGGATAGCAATTCAATGTCCGTAGGTCAATGATATAACTTACTAATTTAGTTATTTGAACTCTTTGATGTAGACCCTTTTTACGATTTTTTTACGAGTGTCCGATTTTAGGGTATGTCGTTTTATAAGTTTTATGGTATTTGTATTACCTATATGGGAAATTCGCTAAAAAAGAATATCTGTATGTCCTCATCTTCTAGGAGGGGTTGAAAAGAAGCAAAACAGGTATACAACAGGCAGAACTTCATTAAAACATGTGGAAATTAAAATGATAAAAGATCAAATAATTTCTTTGTTAGTGCTTTAACTCCTTGTATTGTGCATTTATTAATCTTGACACTTAAAGAAAAACCATCTTAAAATCCATGATTTCTAACACTCAAACAAAACAAGCATTCCAAGAGAAACTTCAACTGACCCCCCGAACCCTATCTACAACTAAAACACCACAATTCAGGATGCTGTAGAAACCTAAAAGTTCTAAGGTGTCACTTGACTAAAGTTAAGAATAGTTATTCCGTGTTGGCTTATAAAATGTGTAATATACTTCCAGTTGAAATACTTAATTTGCCACCAAACCTGCTGAAAGAAACATTGACCACCTGGTTATTGAAGAAGAGTCTGTACTCTCTTAAATATTTCTTTAATGACATAATCTTAGATCTATAACACAAATGCATTGTCTTTGCTGGTCACATCAGAATTTAAAATTATTTATGTTAATATTGTTTAATAGCGTACGTGAGTGAATGAATAAAGTGGAAGTATGAGACAAGATCCGTTCATATATCGTATTGCTGGTGAAGTATTGCTGTGTGGTAATAAAGTATTTAATACAGTAGTTATATCACAAAATTTAGGCGGTTTTGGGCGAAGAAATATATCCCCTCCACTTGATCCTACATGTAAAACAACTATAGCTTTACAACTGAGGTTTTCCAAAACGTAAATCAGCTGCAACATGCATTAACCAAAAAAAGTGGTGAGGGAGGAACTTTCCCTCAAACCACCTAAATTTTGTGAACGAACTACAATAAAGAGTGCAGTTTTAATTCAGACTTCAATCCTCACCTCATGGTCTTGCAGTTTCCGGCCGACAACTCTGAACGAGTTGTTGATCTGGTGCTGGAAGATATGGACTTTGGAGAGTCCAGAAGAGCTGCCGCTGGGGATCCACTTCTTCTGGACGTCGTCATAGACCATCACAGAGGCGCGAGCGGAAGCTATGCTTTGCTCACTGCAACAAACGGACAATTTTTGAACTACTATATAAAGGTATAATGTTGAGCTATTAGAAACAACAGAGTGCATATTTTTAGGCGAAGACGACTTAAGAATAAGATAATAACTTAGTTAGTGACGAAGATGATCAAATTTTTATCTAAGAAACATTTATTACAAGCCCAATGAGCAGAGTCAAGTTATGAAGGATAAAAAAGTAAATGACTTTTCCTAAGATCAAACCAGCAACCTTTTAATTAGAAGGTGAGCTCTATAATTACCTAGCTGCCCTGCCATAAATGATGATTTATTGTACTAATGGGTGTATAATTGATATTCTGGATGTTACTTACTAATGGTATTGCTAAGCATACGGTATAAGTTACCAAACCATATGCAGTCTAAAATACTTGTGAAGAGATCCGAGTTTTAAAATCTCATAATATAGCTCTAACCTTTCCCAAAATATTAATCCTGTATAAACAGTTAAAATTAATCTTGCTGCTGTAGTCTTTAGTATTATTTAACACAAACTGTAATCATAAACTTATTTCTGTAGACTTACAACATTTTATTATAACTTAAACACAACCACTACGATAACAACAAATTCTAAGTCCAACATTGAATTTGACATAGATTTTCTTTATGTGTAGCACAAAAGGTTAATGCAATTAAGTTAACTTTAAGAGCTTATCAACTGAAGAGAAGGTCTGACAAAAGTTGCAATCCCTTCTCGCTGTAGGGAAATTAATAAGTAATTGGGTTTGAAAACACTTTGCAACCTAAATTGAGTGTCATCATCTAGAATACAGTTAACCTCTAACAAGTTATCTTTTTGAAGAGTTGCAATCATTAGGTAGTTAATGCTACAAGTAAAATCATTGACTCATAAAAATAGGAGTTAGTTATGGGAAGGAATTTTTTTAAGTACCAGAAATATAGAAAGTTTGTAGATAATCATTATAAGATAAATAACTCAACATAATATTCAAGATCAGCAGGATGTTGTAAAACATTCAGTAGACTAGTGTTCTGTCTACTCCAGCAATTAGTTCAAGGTTAGCAGGATGGAAATTGACCAGTAAAATAGTGTAGTCTAGCCAAGGTACAGTGTGTCTACTACACCATTATATCCAAGATTGTAAAACCAAGTAAAACATCAACTGATGCGATGTCTACTACTTTTGCTCTTAAAGATACTAAAATAGTCGATAATCTTGAAAGGTACCACTTAAAAGGCAATTAAAGAGTGAATTCAAGCACTTTTTATAACTTTACAGATATTAGCCTTTGAATCTTCAAAGGTTTAGGCAGTTTTTTAGTAGTAGACACAATGGTAAAAATATCCTATACCCTCTAACATTATGGTTAGAATCTTGGATTTAAATCCAAATTTTGTTGATTGCTCCCAAGATTTTGGGGAATTCGGACTACTTTTTGTATAAATCATTTGTATGCGAAATTCCTAAGAGTAAAGTATCAAATACTAAAAAAAAGCATGAAAGACAATGACAGATTATACACATCTTTTGTATAGACATAACACACCTTTTATGTAGTCATATTATTCACATGCCTCCATATCAAAAACAAGGAACCCATCACAAACTCATATCTCATTAGCGGTCTACCATTTACATGAACTTTTATGAGGTTTGACCTTTAAGGGGTGACATTTACAGCAACATATTTGGGGCTGAACCCTCATTGATCTGAATTAGCCCTCACATACATTTCATTCTAATAAAAAAAAAGAGTATGGTTAAACTTGTTTAATACTTTTATACTGCACCTCATAAAACAGAGGATATGATCTGTGCGTGCAGATTCTTTTTGTGCTAAAACTACCATTTTTTGGGTCCAAAATATTCCTGGTACTTTGTTTTTATATGTAGGCCACCTTTATACAGCGACCGTTATGTTAGGTGGTTGGGCGGTTATGTTAGGTTGGGTTATCATAAATAGAAAGTATGACTCATCTGGTATCGTTCGATTCATGACGAAACGAGGAAAGTCTTACAAACATCAACAGAACGATACAAAAAAATAAAATAAGCGGCCTCCGTATAATACCAAAGTACCATATTCTTTAACTCTTAGGTTTGTAAATAGAAATGGGGAATGTACGGTGGTGTGTCAGTCTTTCAATTATTTAGTTAATGATAACCCTTTGATATCCTGGAGAATTTCCCATACACATAGTATGGGCAAAGCTGGTTTCATAGCTCTTGGATTGTCTTGGATTTAACTTTGTAAAGAATAGACTTTTTAAGATTTTTAAGTTTACGCAGGAATTGTACATTGTACTGAAGAATTTTTTCACAACCTTGAATTTTCATTGGTGGCTAGCAGGTGAAGCATTGAATAGGATTAAATCTGCATTTAATAATGTTGGACATTAATAACAAGTTTTTCAATTAAATTTTAAAAATACAGGTACCACGAAGTTAAGAGGTTTCAAAATAATTTATGAAGACAACTACAAAAAAAGCCTTGAACATAATTTTATTTTTGACAGTAAGAATAGCATAGGAGACAAAGATCAGCATTAGGTACTTTAAATATATCTCAGCAATCAATAATTAATTTTGAAGTAGAACATTTCAATTCACTACATCCTGGTGGTGTGGTTTTTTAAAAAACCAAAATTAACGTCTATTAAGTTTTTTTTGTTTTTTTTTTGCCATAGGAACTGAAATGAGTACAATTTTTGTGAGAAAAACCCTTCCGAAGGATGAGGATATTTCGAAAACACAATAAAAACTATAATGGTTTACACGTTTGACCCAGATTAAAAAAATAGACAGTATTTAGAAGAGCAATGGTTGGTTTAACATTTAAGTTGCTTTAAGACTAGCAAACATCAATTAGATGAAATCAATGCTAACACTCCAGCTTTGGAAAATTGAAACGTACTAAAACAAACATAATGGACCGTGATAATGGACTATCGCAATAATTCAATCAAAGTGGACATTTATGGACCAAGCCCGTGATAAGCACAATTATTTCCACTATTAAGGCACGCTCCCAGCGCAGTCTGATAAGATGTTCCAATGGCTAGAGATAAGCCTAGGTCAATAATGGAAGTCGACTTAAACATGGGAATGCCACGGCGAAACCAATTGTCCATTCCCACGTTTCAATACCTTCCAATGTTCTCAAGAATAGATCGCATTGGAAAGATTTATACGGGCATTTCGGACATTTACTAAGTTAAAATTTGTAATTTAAATGCTTTTTATCTTATTTTACAAATAATACATTACACTGATTCATACATTGATAAAAAATACAGGGATCAATATAAGCATTAAACTTGCAAGTTCCCGATGATTGACATTAAAAATTTATGACTAAGTTTACATTCCAAAACACATGAACAAAACTCAAAACAGAAAAATTGTGAACATTAACAGAAAATAAAAACAAAACTCAAATCGAAACGTTAACACCAAACGCAATTTCGTTTAATATACTAAAGTAATACAGTATACAGGTAGTATATTTTTGACTATAATGAGAAACTTTAACAAAGCTAGCACACTTTGACAGCACGAAACTTTATTGATTTCCCTTTGAATATTAGTAAATAATAATTTATACTGGGTAAGAAAGACAAAAATGTTAAATATTTTTCAGCTATCCTACCATGATCATTTAACTCTTTCTAAAATATACGATAACTGCAAGAAAGGACCAAGTGGCAATGAGGTAAACACTAAAAAGAAGTACGGCATTGCTCACGTATGCTTCTCAAGTTCACCCGTGTACCACGATTTTCGAACATTTATTGTATAGTATCTAGTGATTTTAAATCTCTTTACCCCCTAAATTGACATTAAATAGCTGTAGATTGAAAAACAACAAAAGTTAGCTGACACTTAAATCTGTTAAATAGTTGGATTTCAGGCGAGGTTTAGGTAATTTTCAAATCTAATCAACGCAGATTTGACAATTTAATTCTTTTTGTCGTTATTCAGTTTTGGTGGAAACATGATAATTGATAAAACTACTTTTACCAGATAAAACTTGTAGTTTACTTGAGATGCATAACCATTTTAGCTTGGTAAAAAACTACAAACCAAAACCAATCTACAGCTTCCAACCTACTGACTTAAAAATAAAAACTACATGGTTTATAACTAAATTTTTACCTAAATACTACTTACAACCGCTTAGAAACGTGACCATATTACCGCATTACTATCGAGGCATACGTGTGGTAACAAACCTAAAAAGGTTCTACCACTTCATTATTTCAACAGTATACCTGGTCTCCTCTTCCAAGGCAAGCTCGAAATCCATGTTGGCACACATCCTTAAAATATCGTCCGACAGTGTCTGTAGTGATTCAAAAGACTCCATAGCGATGGTGTAAACACCTCGATGTTAGTTTAGAAACAGTAGCGCGCTAAGATATCCCCATGTGTTCCTTCACCTTCGCGGGAAGTGGCGTCCCTTATCACTCTTATCTCACTTCCCTCCGAGCTGCGTGAACGTCATTGTAACATATGGAACACTGACACTACACCGAGTGTGGCCAACCATCACACAACGCACTGGGGTAAATAAACAAGTAAATACGATAAGGGCGTATCAGTATGACGCGTTTTGTCAACAGCGTTCACTCCGATTTAAACGTTTAACATATTTTAACAAATGTATCACGATATGTTTACAATTTTTAAACATGCATATGATGCATTATTGACGAAAAGTGAACATAAAGGTTTTAAAATGTAGGGAAAGCAAGTATTGTTACTATTTCACACTAAGGGTAAAAAACGGCTATTCATGATATTGAAAACTTTTAGCCAGGCGTGCAGAAGTTATTCTTAATTCGGTTTCGGACGGTCAAGGGATCAATTCTCCTAACCTTAAAGCTCAATTAGGTACTGAGGAAAAAAGAAAAAAAAACTTGACAATATGTGCTCAGGGATTATGAGGTATGCTATACAGTCTTTTTCGTTCCAAACCGCAAAGAAACTAGCAGGGATGGTGGGAATAAAA